CACAGAACTCATAGATAATATCTGTTATTATAGAGTTTATTGGTGAAGTAACAGGTCACAATTCAAGATCAGAAAATACTCAGGGCATAGTTCTTCAATCTGGGAAGCCTCTTAGTGCTCCAAAGTATAACTCTCTCTTACCCTCAGCCTCTCTCCCCCTTGGCCTCTGTCCAGCTTGAGCAAATGTGCCCAGAGGAACCCCCCTCTACCAGTATGCCTCGGATCATGGCTCCATGATTGACATGCTCTAGCTTAGTGGGGTGGCAAACCTAACTCCTTTAAGTGCCTAGGCACTCGACTCCACTCAGGTATTCAGCTTACTCTATGAGCCAAGAAGCCCACCACTCCTCCTGCCGCCCCTCACTGTCTCTCACCATCTCCTGTGCCATCACTCTCTGTCTGGATCATGGAGGTTCTTGGTACAGGGAGCTCGGGTCCAAAGGACATGCTCTACCCATGGCTCTTCTTTCTTAGTGGTCATGGGATCCCCTTCCGCCTCTAGGGTAGCTCATTTTAAGCCTAATAAGATGGGAAAGCTGACCTGATCAGCCTTTGGTGGGAGTTCTAAAACCATGGCTAAAAGTTCATATGAGAGACTCATTGCACCACACTGGGTCACTAAATGAGGAAGAGATCTTCTCTTTTTAAAAATAGTGCTGGAAAAACTGGATGTCCATTCAAAGAAGAATGAAATAGCACCCATATCTCACACTGTCTACAAAATGAGCTCAAGGTGGATCAAAGACCTAAATTTAAAACTTAGAACTATAAATACCATCAATGAAAAAAATAGGAACAAACAGATATAGAGCCCTAATATACAGCATAAATACACTGTCAAACAATTGAAAACAGAAACAGCAGAAGACAAACTAGATGACTAGGACCTCCTGAAAATTAGACACTTGAGTACATCAAAGATTTCACCGAAAGAGTAAATAGAGAACCCATGGACTAGGAAAGTATTTTTGACAATGACTATCAGACAAGAAACTGATCTCTAAAATGTACAGAACTCTTCAACAAGAAAAAGACAGCCTAATTTAAAAATAGCAATAGGCTAGAAGGTAGACAGGTGTTTGGATGAAAGGGAAGATAATAACCTACTAGAGGAAAACAGGCAAAAAGAAGGATATTTGATAAGTTGTTTAAGGTATTGGATGCAAAAATGATCTGATATATAAATGCTCCCCTAATTCATAATAAAAAGGGTTAGTTTTTAATGGGCAGAGGATATTAACAGACACTTCACCAAAGAAGACATCTAAACAGCAACAAAGAAATGCTTGTGATCATTAGCCATTAGAGAGATGCAAATCAGAATGACAATGAGGTATCACGTCACCCCAGCATTCATAGCAAAGTTCAGAACACAGGTAACTGGTGAGGTGTGAAGAGACTAGAACCTTCATGCCTTCAGTTTTCAGTGGAACTATAGCTATGCCTATAAAGAAAACAACACTCCTGATAATGTGCACACTTTAGAATAATGGACCATTTGGGATCAAGGGGGCAGCATTTATCCAAAGAGTAAGTTCAGAATGGTTAGGAAAGGAGGCATGGAAACAGGAAGCAATGCCACATAATGTAAGTGATATTACATTATGAGAATTACCAACAATGAGATGAAATGAAATATAAATTATTGAGTGTAAAATTGGTTATTTGCTCTGTAAACTTACACCTCTCACACTCATTCCTTGATTCTTAATTAAAATATCACTTTCTAAGGGAAGCCCTCTTTGATATGTCTTCCTATACCAGTTTATCTACCTATGTGTGATTGTTTTCTTCCTATAATGTCCCTTCTCTCAATTAGTCTATATACTCTGTAGGAGTATAGACTATATCTGCTTTTTGCCACAACATACCCAATATTTAGGCAACTCTGTGGCATAGTGTATATGAGTTGGGCTACTCAGGTCAGCAGTTTGAACCCACCAGCCAGTCTAGGAGAAAGATGAGACTGATACTGCCTACGCCCGTGAAGATTGACAGCCTCAGAAACCCTGTGGAGCCGCTCAACTTTCCTTTAGGGTTGCTATAAGTCAGAATTAACTCCATGACAATTAGTATGTTTTCCTGTTATTAATCCAGTATTTGACACAGGTCCTGTACATCTTGTAGCTCTCAAAAAATATTGACTGTATAAATGAAACTATACTTGGACCTATTGCCAATTTGCGCTTCCCAAATGACTATACCAACTCATATCTGGATACCCCAAATACTGACATATTGCCTTACTTGGTGTCTCATCCACCAGCTCCACTGTACATCGGCAAATACTATGCCCTTCTTTTCTTTCCTATCAAACTCATTTGAGGTTTTGAGTAAAATTTTAGTAACTTTGAGAATGACTATTGTTTGATTTATCCTAGTTTTATCCCAGTAATTTTACCTGGCTTGGATACAAACCAACCTCATTGCTGCTGAGTAAATCCTGACTCATAGCAAACCTATAGGACACAATGGAACTTCCCATGAGGAGTCCGGTGTCACAGTGGTCAGAGCTCCCAGCTTCTAACCAACAGATTGATAGTGCAAACCCAAAGGAGAAACCTGAGGCCATCTGCTTCCATAAAGATTTGTTGTTGTTGTTAGGTACCATCAAGTTGATTACAACTCTGTACAGCAGCAAGACACACTGCTGGTCTTATGTTGTCCTCCCAAACCTCCAGTGTTGCAGCCTCTGTATCGGGCAGTTTCATTGAGGCTCTTTCTCCTAGTCACCGCCTGATAGCCTTCCCCAGGTAGTGCTTTCATTTGATCTGCAAACGAAAAGCAGCAGCTCAAACGCCTTGCTGTCAAGTCCATTCTGACACATAGCAACCCTATAGAGCAGAGTAGCATTGCTCCTGTGCATTTCTTAGCAGCTGGTAGATTTGAACTGCCGACCTTTGGGTTAGCCGCCCAATGTGTAATCCATTACACCACCAGGGCTCATTTTTCCTCCTGGTAACGTGTTCAAAGTATGTGAGATGAGTTCTTGCCATCCTCACTTCTAAGGAGTATTCTAGGTGTACTTCTTCCAAGACAAACTTGTTCATTATTCTGGCAGTCTGTCGTATATTCAGTATTCTTTGCCAGCACATAATTCAAATGCATCTATTCTTTTGCAGTTTTTTTTAACTCATTACCCAGCTTTCCCATGAGGATGAGGCAATTGAAAATCCCATGGCTTGGGCCAGGCACACCTTGGCCCTCAAAGGGACATCTTTGCTATTTGACCCTTTAAAGAGGTCTTTTGAAGATTTGCCCAGTGCAGTACATCATTTGATTTCTTGACTGCTGCTTCCACAGTGTTGATTTTGTATACAAATAAAATAAAGTCTTTGGCAACTTCAATATTTTCTCTTTATTATGATTTTGCTAACTGGCCCAGATGTGAGGTTTTTATTTTCTTTATGTTGAGTTATAATCCAACATCAGGAGAAAGACGAGGCTTTCTACTCCCGTAAAGAGTTACAGTCTAACACTAGACAACTCTACCCTGTCCTATACAGTCGACATGATTCAGAACCGACTCAAGAGCAATGAGCTTGGTTTTTGGATAATCCAACCTAAAGGCTGTCACCTGTGCTCTTCAGAAGTAAGTGCTTCAAATCCTCTTTACTTTCGGCACACAAGGTTATGACACCTGCACGTCACAGGTTGTTAATGAACCTTCATTCTTGGTGCTGGCTTCGTCATATAGGCCAGCTTCTCAGATTATTTGCTTAGCATACAGATTAAGTAGTATTTAAATCTGACACAAACCTTTCGTGATTTTTAACCAGTCAATATTTACTTTTTTCTGTTTAAACAGCCTCTTGGTCTGTGTCCACGTTCTACCTGAGCACAATTAAGTGTTCTAGAATTTTCATTCTTTGCAATGTTATCAATAGTTTTAATGATCCACACAGTTCAATGCCTTTGAATTGTCAACAGAACACAAGTAAACATCTTTCTGGTATTCTCTGCTTTCAGCCAGGATTCATCTAACATCAGCAATGATATCCCTCGTGACACATCCTCTTCTGAATCCAGCTTGAATTTCTGGCAGATCCCTGTTGATGTACTGATGGAACTTTATTTTAGTTATCTTCAGTAAAATATTACCTGCATGTGATATTAATGATATGTAATAATTTCTGTATTCAGCTGGATCACCCTTCTATTGAATGAGTACAAGTATAAATATCTTCCAGTTGGCTGGCCAGTTAGCTGTCTTCCAAGTTTCTTGGCATAGTGAGTGCTCCCATTACTGCATTGTTTGTTGTAACATCTCAGCTGGTATTAAGTCAATCCTGCAGTCTTGTTTTTCACCAATACCTTCAGTGCAGCTTGGATATCTGCCTTCAATACCATTGAGTCTTAATTATCTGCTACTTCCTGAAATGGTTGAATATCAACCAGTTATTTTTAGTAAGTGACTCTGTATATCCTTCCATCTTCTTTTGATGCTTCCTGCATCATTCAATATTTTGCCCATAAAATCTTTCAATGTTGCAACTGAGACTTAAATTTTTCTTCAGTTCTTTCAGTCAGATATGCTGAATGTGTTTTTCCTTTTTGTTTTCTAACTCCAGGTCTTTGCACGTTTCATTATAGTACTTTACTTTGTCTTCTTGAGCTATCCTTTGAAATACTCTGTTCAATTCTTTTACTTCATCATTTATTCCATTTGCTTTCAAGAACAAGTTTTCTGACATCCACGTTGATCTTTTCTTTTCAGCCTTTTTATTTTTAACAATTTTTATGACAAATTATCTGGGTATTTCTTTTCTTTTTTAATGACCCTTTGCTTAATGCAAGATTTTTTGTAAAATGTTCTTGATGTCAGTCCACAAGGTCTTCAGTCATTAGTATTCAATATGTCATTTATCTAGGACCACACAGTTGACAAAGCCCAGATTAAAACAGAATATGCATCTGTATTTAACTATACTCAAAAAGTGTCCCTTTTGGTGTGTCATGTGAACCCAAATGATTCATGCCACTGTTCACGTTCTTCACAGGTGCCCCTGATCCCACAGCTGGGGCCAGCATTGATGATGAGAACTGTTGGCATTTGGATGAAGAACAGGTGAAGGAACAAGTGAAACTCTTTCTTTCTCAGGGGGGTTACTATGGCTCTGGAAAGCAACTCAACTCAATGTTTGCCAAGGTAAGATATGAAGAGAGGAGGTTTTTGTTTTCTTTTTAACCTTAGTAAGTAAGCTGGGGAGCCCTGGTGGCTTAGTGGGTTATATGTTGGGCTGCTAACTGCAAGATCAACATTTCAAAACCACCAGCTCTTCCATGGGGGGAAAATGAGGCTTTCCACTCCCATAAAGAGTTACAATGTTGGAAACCACTGGGACAGTTCTACTCTGCCCTATATATTGGGGCATTGCAGTCAGAATAAGTACTCATTGTTAGATCCTCATTCCCCACTCCCCAACCTCCCCTGCCCTACTCCTAGGTAATTATCAATCTTGTTACCATTTCTATAGCTTTACCTGTCCTGGGTCTCAGATACAGAAAATCATACAAAACAAGGAACAAACAAACAATAAGCAATTACAAAACAGAAAAACCTCAATCGAAAAGAGAGTACTTGATGTCATTAAAGTTTTTTTGTTTTGTTTTGTTTTTTTCATTTTTGTAAAGTGAGCTGGGCTTGCCACACTCTGGTTTCATGCAGTGTAACCAACTCACTTGACATAGTTGTTATAAATACTTGAAACCTAGTGGGAGGGCTAATCCGAGCAAACCTGACTAGGTTGCATCCAGCATCCCCTACTAACTCACCTTGGTAGTCATGTTCTTTCTGCTCCACTCTGTAAATAAGTTAGCATAGTTTGGTTGGGATGTTAGTAAGGAAGCTGCTTTGCTCTGACCTTAGAGACTATTGTCTAAACAGTGTCCCTGACGAGACTAGCCGGCTTTTAAATTTTTTTTTACTTGCCAGCTTTAAAAAAAATAGTTTTATTAGCATGTAATTCACATATAATACAATGTAATAATTCAGTCATATTAAGAAGAGTTATGCAATCCTCACTACAATCAGTTTCAGAAATGTTTCTTCTGATACTCCATCCTCATATAAATATATTTGCATATGTACATGTCTTTATCTAGACCTCTATAAATGCCCTTTGCCTCCCAGCTCTTTCCTCTATTTCCCTTGATTCTCCACCTGTCCCACTATCATGCTCAGTCCCCACCAGGATTTCAGCACTTCCTCTTTGTTACGTTCCCCTTGATCATGCCCTACCAGGTCTCCCACACCCACCTCCCCACCAATTTGGATCGCTTGTTGTTCCCTTGTCCCTGGGTTTGTTAACACCTCTTCCCTTCCCCCCACCTCCCCCTCTCCCAAGTCCCCCCGGAACTGTTAGTCCCATTGTTTTCTCCTCCAGATTGTTCATCCAGCCTGTCCTATCCAGACAGGCCTGTGGAGACAACAACATGCACAAAAACAAGACAGAGCAAAACCAAGCAACAATGTACAACAAAACAGCAACAACATCAAGCCACTGACAAAGAACAAATTAAAATATACCAAGAAAGAAAAGCTTGTGTTTTCCAGTCTAGCCTGTTGGGGCACCATGCCCTGTCTCCAATGTCCACCCTCATCATTCCCTGGGTATCTTGCTGCTCCATTCCCCTGCTGTTCCGCTGCACTCCCCCAGTGCTTTGCCTCAGTGTGGTGGGGTCAGATCAGGTGCAATTCCCACACTGTGTCACTGGTGTTGTCCCCCGCAGGGCCATGGGTCAGTGAGGGGTATCATGTCTCATAGTGGGGCTGGCCATGTGGTCCTCTCTGTGGACTGGCTGCTCTATTTGGGGTCATCGTCCTCAAGGCCTGGTGGGCCTTTCTTCTGATACTCATTGGGGTTTTTTCAATCAGTTATGGGTATTTCATTTTCATTCTCACTGCCATTGAGTGGAGTCCAATTCACAGTGTGACCGTACAGGACCCAGAAGAACTGCCCTTATGGTTTTCCGAGAACCCAAATCGTCATAGAAGGAAAAACGTCCTCTTTTTCCCCAGGGTCTTGTGGTTTCCCGTTGCCAGCCTTAAGGTTAGCAGCCCATACCCCTTTCTTCTACATCATCATTTGGCATCTTCTGGGGGGGCGGGGAGAAAGTGCTTTCTGGTCTCTCTTATGTACTAATGCAATATTTTTTACTCACTGAATTATGATCATCATTAGATCCCCAAATTCCCTTAGATTTGAACAGAGGGATCTTGTTTAAGTTGGCTGTGTCCTTTTGATACATCCCATCGGTTTCTGTGATGCAGTGGGTTAAAACATTGGGCTGCTGCTGATACTCATTGTTGCCCACCATTTTCCTTCAACCTCCCCTGTCCTGCTCTTAGGTAATTATTAATCCAATTACTGTCTCTATAGAGTTATCTATCCTGGATCTCAGATACAAAAAGTCATACAAAACAAAAAACAGTGACAAAGCAGGGGGAAAAAACCTCAATCAAAAGGAAAGCAGAAAATACTAAAAACTGAAGCAACTTTAAAGTGGGTCAAAGGGCGTTCAGATGATAAGGTGTTACCTAACTACATCTGCCATAATCAGCTTTACAATGCTCTGTTTGATAGCAAGGCTATTCACATCCCTGGACTAGGATCAGAGGGGAGTCACTGGAAGTTTAATCCACGTGGAGACTCTTCAAATGAATGTTTGGTTTCCACTGTCATCCATATAGCCTTCTGCAAACTAGGCGTTCACAATTTAAGCTCTCAGACCATTCCCTCCTTCAGATTTGGATTTTTTTTACATGATCTTTGGATCGTGCAGGCTGGTGGGCTTCTTCCATGTAGATTTAGTTGACTCCTCACGTAGATGGCTGCTTGTTGTAAAACAAGACTTTAAGACCCCAGATGCTATTCTTTCTGATAGCCAGGCACCATCTGATTTCTTCACCACACTTTGCTATAACACCCAGATCTTCATTGATCTCTTCATGAGGGCAAGTATCTAGTAGGGCCATGTCATAAGAACTACATTTTCTTGGATTAGGACTGCGATGAAGACAACAGGCTTTCTTGATACATGCAGGGAACTTGCTTATAGATCCAGAGGCCCTCTTTCTGACTTTTTGGCTATATTGTGCTTTGATAGTTTGGCTTCTCCTTCATTCTCTTTATATAATTTTATGATGTGCTGTCTTTTTTCCCCCCTCCTATGTGTCAGGTTCGAGAGATGCTACGAATGAGAGATTCCAATGGAGCCAGGATGTTGACGCTTATAACTGAGCAGTTTATGGCCGACCCACGTCTCACACTCTGGAGGCAGCAAGGAACAAGCATGACAGACAAGTGCAGACAACTCTGGGATGAGTTAGGTTAGTCCTCTAGTTTTGTCTTACCAGCCTCTCCTCTGGCAACAGTCTTGATGGGTATTTTAAATGAAGAATTCCTTTGATAATTATTAGCATACAGCTGGTTCATATGAGGCATGGGTTAAATTTTTCCTAGATATCCAACTTTTTAAAACTACTTTACCGTACCAGTCCATTAAGTGTAACATCAGCTCCTCCTCCTCCCCTCAATATTCTCCTTCTGATCTTCGGGTTCCATAACTTGCTTGAGCGTCTCATAGAATTCACCAACTATATTTACAGTTCAGTGGTTTACTAGGGAATATCAGGGTACAAGTCAGGGTATAGTTCTTGATCAGGACCATTTATTTGTGCCTACGGCTCTGGGCCTTCTCTGGCAAGTGTTACAACTCTAAGCTTCACAAATCAGCAAGCCTCACACAGCTGTCTCCTGGTTCCTGCCGTTATGTATAGCTATCATTCTTGCTACTAATGTGCCACTATCTCTCACTGTCTTTATTTCCACCCATTTTAGATAACAAACAGTTCCATTGCTTCAAATGGTCCCAGGTGGGACTTCCCATCATTAAATTCTTCCTGACTGGGATGAATACAACAGACTTGTTTCAGCCTCTTTAACATAGGGAATCAGCGGGAGTTTCCACTGGTCCACACCCAGCCTCTGGTAGTACTGCCTTAGAACCTTTGTCACAACTCCATCAGTCACCACTATATCCATGCCATTTCCTGGTCCATCAATCTCTATATTCATCTCATTTCTTAGTATCCATTTAAAAGTCTATGTCCTGCTGGAGTATGTTTTTTCTCATTTCTTCTTCCTGTTCTATGAATCACCCTTATGATTCTTGCATCTGTAAGACCCAGGCAAGGAAGCTGTGTGAACAGATCCAACAGGGGTTCTCAGACGGTTGCTTTGTTTCACAGTAGCAAGGTTACATGGAGTGCCCATGTAGAAGGACTCCCTTGATTACCATCTCTACCATGGAGAAGGATAATTTCCCTTCTCAGGGAAATCTCACCACAGATTTTATCTAGTCCACCAGGCTGGCCATCCCCTCCAGATTAACCTGATTCATGACCATTCTAAGTGAGCTGTGGTTCTTGCATAAACCCAAAATTATTTTTCCATTCTGCCCCATTCAAAACTAAAGACACTATCCCTAAACTAATTGCTGATGATACCAATCTAAAAATTGAAGCAAGTCCTTTCCACCATACCCACTGATTTTAATAGT